GGCTACACAACAAGACACACCAGAAAGACATGAATAATCACAGGGAACGAGGGACAAGAGAGAAGTAGAGCGCCCTCTAGGAGTACTGGGCGTGACAGTTTGCGATTGGTTCATGACCTTGGACTTTTGGACCTGTGAATGTTGTAACACAACAAATTTGGTCTAAATATATTAAATCTATATCGCTTAGCTTGTTTTTTTTTTCTCTGCATTCTTCTAGTTCAGTACATAATGATATTATATTTATCCTTTTATTTTGACATTTATGTATGAAATTAAAAAAAAACATACAATTCTAAATTTGACAGTGGGATCAAAGTTGTTAAGACACCAACCCCTAAAACACTTACTTATTCTTACTTGATTCTTACTTGAGTTTTGGGGTCCTGGGGAGCCACAAAGTCTCCTGGTTTTAATTCTGACAAACTCTATGAGCAAATGGATTAAAAGTGGTGGTTTAGTTGGTATTATTCACAACCGATTCCAAGTTTTCAGTCATCGAGCCATTTGGATTTTCTGTCAGGACTACAGGGCTGTGGATCTTCAGAACAAGAAGTAAGAACTGCCCTAAAACATGTTTGATTTGTCCAAATCCTCATCTCTCTTTCTAGCGTCTTTAAATCCACAATAATTCAAATTGCCATACTAGTGTTTTATATATCGCTACTATATACAGTATATATACTATATATATAGAGTAGTGATATTTATTGAATAAGAATGTGATGAGTGTATTCTATGCAAAGCACACATTAGCAGAATTCACAGTGAAAAATGGAGGAGGAGGCCGCGGAGGAGACGACCTGCTACTAGGCGCGAAGACATCTGAACGCTCAATGCTGAGCAAGGAGCAGAGCAGACACAGGAAGTAAATAGGCTACACAACAAGACACAACAGAAAGACATGAATAATCACAGGGAACTAGGAACAGGACAGAAGAGCAGCGCCCTCTAGGAGTACAGGGCGTGACAGATACTTGAAGAAAACGTCAGTTCCTTAAAATAAAATGGCATTCCTGTCTTCAATAACCCTTCAATAATCTCCTTTTTGAAGACCACTGATCCAAATCAACACCATCAGCTGCTACTGGTTTGCTCAGTATTACGTTGCTGTGATACATTCAGACATCAGACACACAGAATGTGTATCACATGGCCAGTTTACCCGAACAGTAGCTCAAGATTAGAGCTCCTTCTGCTTGTAGTCCTGTATTCTGGTCTCCCTCACTTCTTTATTATGTTTCTGGTGTGTCATCTGAAATGTCAGGGACCTGGGAAAAGACAGACTACTCACCATCTTCTTCCTTTTGTTCGCCTGTCTCTTCTCTTCTTTCTCTCTACTCTCTCAAAATCAAATTCAGAGAGATTTATTGGCATGAATTACAGTGTTCCCAAAGCAATAGCTCTTTGCCTATTCTTTTTATCCTGTCTTCGCTGTTGATGTTCTGAGAAAGCTTGCTTAATGATTTAACAGCAGTTGGTTTAGTCTGACTTAAATTTAGAATAACTTTAACAGAACAATGACAGTTTGCTTAATAGCAAACACCATAAAGGTTTCCCATTGTTTTACCATTTTTAAATAGGGTGCTTTGATGTGAATTTTAAACATTTGGATACCTCTAAAGCATGCAACTTTTTTTTTAAGACTTCAATGTCCCTGCATTGTGAAATGGGCTACTATATTTATGTTCTATGAAAAAGTATATGTTCTGTGAAAGCTATAGGCATACTCAAAGTTAAAGGGAACTGCAGTCCCAATTTCTCAAAACCAATATTAAATCTTGGTAACAAATTCAATCATTTGAAGGTATCACAACATTTTACAAATTTCAAATTTGGTATTAAATTGTGAATTTAGCTAAATTACTGCACAAAAGCAGCCCTTCCTGCTCGCTAGACACTGTAAGAAAATGAGAAATGTGGTTTCCCAACAACGTTAATTCGTTTTTGTCTTTATTATTTCATGTAATATTTTAAATGATGCCTCACTGTCAAATATTTGGCTATTCAGAACATAGTGGTCGTGCACCGCACAGAGGTTAGCAGAAAGTCAAACTGTTTCCTGTTCCAAAGGATTGTGAACAAGCCAAGAAATGGCTAATAATGTTGGTCCCATTGACAAGTTTCTCGATGCGATTCAGTGTGATGTAAGTAAAGGTTGTGCAGCAGACATTTCACCCCAGAAATGTTTGTAATCTAAAACTAAACATGAACTGTATGTTAACAAGTAGTATCTGTTTACAAAACTGTCTTAAAGTCGATGTGATGATTTCAGTTCAGCTGCACTAATTCAAATCAGCTGTTCAGGCGACAGCATGGGCTACAAAAATATACATCCTGCTAGAATTTTTCTTCTTGGTGTGATTTACCACAAAAAACCACCAATGGAAATGATACATTGAAACTTTGTCAATTTTGTGATGTAAATTGAAGGTTATACATGTTACTGCGTGCTTGGTAGTTTCATCCTGATTTGAAATGCGCTCATCCTTGCTGATTCACTATAAGCCCCACAATCTAAACATAGCATTGCAGTTCCCCTTTAATAAGACTGAATATTTTAAGTGAGATAGAAACATGAAATTGTTGACTATGAAGAAGTGATGAGTTACTCACAGTTACTCGAAAGAAACCAGGGTACTGATTTCAACAATGTGGCTGGGTAGCTTGTTCCATACTGCCACAACTAAAATGAGAGAATCATTAGACTAGTGCAATGATACTATGGTATTCATAAAACAAATTAAAATTGTATAAGTAAAGTCAAAAGAAAGGAAAGAACTACAAATTTGTTATGAAGGTATGAGGTGGGTTGAGGAATGAGATAAGAAATAAAATGCACCAAGATAAAGAATCACCAGAGAGTGGGTGACAGCATTTTAAAGATATTCTGTTTAAGCACAGAACAGATTAATTTTAAAAGTATATCAAAATGTTGAAAGGGACAATTCAAAAGGTTTAATAAATCAATTAAGAAAAACAGAAGGAGAAAAATAGTACTTTTAAAATTATTTTAAAACAGCCAGTTAAAGAGAAGCAGTGCAGTTAACTGCAAGCACAGATGAAAAATGTTGTTGGGAAAGTCAAGATAGAGAAGAAGGTTTTATTGCAGTGAGAGCTATTAAATGATGTGGAACACTAAATGATATAATCAAGGAAATAATGGGAAACTTTAAAAGACTGAAGGGGAAATTACTGATAGGTTAGACTGGTCTTTAGCTCAGGCAAAAAAAGGCAACGTGGATGAGGACAACAG